ATGTCATCGTTGTGAGCTGGAAGGGAGATGGGAATGTGTCGTGTGTGGTGAGGAACAGCCGCCTGGATCAGGAGCAGGCGTCGTCCCTGCACATCTCAGGTACAGGATGGCAGCAGGGCTGGGGTTGGCCACGCTGCTTGGGGGGGTTTTGTTCTCTGGAGGCAGGATAAACATGCCGGGAGTGCAGGAAGGAAAGGGGGGTGTAAATGAGTCCTTTTCCTAATGTTTTTTTGTTTCTCAGCTCCCTTTTTCCACAATGCCCGTCCCTGGATGGCAGCTCTGGGTGTCTTCCTCGTGCTTTCAGTGGTGTCCGCTGCCCTCAGTGCTTACCTCTTCCGAAGGAAAGGTGAGTTTGCATCACCACGATGTTTTGCCTTCATTATGGAAGCTCTTTGGGCAAAGGAAGGATGGGGAGAAGGACACGGGGTGTGGGTGGGAGGAGAGGGAGCATGGGCAGAGCATCTGGCTGGTGGGAAGGTCCAGGAGACCCCTGGGGAGATGGTGCCAGTGATGAAGCAGCTGCTCTCCTGACCTCCTCTTCCTCTGCCTTTGCTTTCCAGTGGTGCAGTCCCGAGCGCTGGGTGAGTCCTTCTGGCCCCTGCCACCAGCAAAGCCTCCTGAGAAAGGAGCCTCCTAGGAGGAGTGTGGCTTTGAATGGCTCTTGCTGTTTCTCTGGTCACTGATGTGTGTTGCTGGAGCCCAGAAGGGCACGGGCGAGCCCTGGGGTTGGGAACTGGGCACAGGAGGTGTCCTGGCTCATGGGAAGAAGCGGGGAGCAGTATTAAATGAGCTTAAATCAGCTGGGCCTTAAGTCTCTGCTTAAGTCAGGCATAACTGCGGAGTGCCTGGGTGGGCTGGGGTGGGGATAGGAGGGCAGGGAGCCCCCTTGTAAGCCAAGGCGGCTTTTCCCATTCCCCAAACATAAGAAATGTGGGCTCAGCCTGCCCTCTGCCTGCTCGAGCCATGGGGTGCGAAGCTGTCCCCTTTCATCACTCATTGCTTCTGTTTTTCCTTTCCAGGGAAACGAGATGCAGAACTGGGTGAGTCTCCGTGAGCTCCTCCTGGCTTGGTGTCCCCTCCCAGGTTCTCTGTGCCTGGCCGTTTCCACTTCTGCCCGTCCTCTCCATCTCTGCATCCCCTGGGTCTGGGGAAACCCCGAGGGGATGTACCTGGGAGGGGTGGGAATCTTGAGGACACTAGACACAGGACCAAACACCAGATCTCTCCCCTCACCAGAGACTCTTGGGAGAGTTTTTGGGACTTGGCCAGGCTGGAGGGAGCCATTCACAGGGTTTTGGGGGTGTTTTCCCACATACCAAAAAGGAGTTGGGCGTCTGCCCACTGCTCTGGTTGCAGGTGCATGATGAGAAGCTGTCCCCTCTCATCACTCATTGCTTCTGTTTTTTCCTTTCCAGAGCAACGGGATGCAGAACTGGGTGAGTCTCCGTGAGCTCCTCTTGGCTTGGTGTCCCCTCCCGGGTGCTCTGTGCTCGGCCCCTTCCCCATCCCCTCCATCCCTGCATCCCTTGGGTGCGGGCCTGCTCTGGGGGAGGTGCCTGGGGGGTTGGGCAACTCGGGGACACCAGAGCAGGGATGGACCCTCTCCCCTGCCCAGAGTCCCTGGGGACCAGCCATGGGACATGACCAAACTGGAGGGAGCCATCCCTGGGATCCAGGAGTGTTTTCCTACTCCCCAAAAAGGAGGAATTTGGGGGTTCCCCAGCTCTACCTACTCCTTCTTGAGCCCTTTTGGGATGAGAAGCTGTCCTCTCTGACCACATATTGCTTTTGCTTTCCAGAGGAACAAGCTGCACTGTTGGGTGAGTCTCCGTGAGCTCCTCCTGGCTCAATGTCCTCTCCTGGGCCCCCTGTGCTCTGCCCTTCCCTCCCTTGCCAGAGCAGGGATGGGCCCTTTTCCATTCCCACAGCCACTGGGGACCAGTGGTGGGATGTGACCTGCTCCTCTCTCTCCTTGTAGCTTGGAGAAAGTTTCTGCTTCCTGAAAATCCAGGTAATTGGGTGTTTCATTGTATTTTATGTTGGTTGATGGGTCATTCTTCTCCCTTTTCCTCTGTGCGAGGTGTAACTTGGATGCAGTGAAGGGACTGGCCATGCCTGCGCATGTTGGTGGCCAATACCTCCCAGACGTTTGCCCTGGGATGGATCTCACCTTGTTTTCTTGCCATTCCACCCCATTCTGAACTACATTCAGGACCCCCAGAGGCACCATCTCCCTCCAAGACCCCACCAGTGTCTGTTTCCATGGGTCCGAGCTTGGCTGTGTCCGTGATGGGGCTGGCCCCGTGGTGGGGATGGAGAGGAGGAAGGAGATGCCCACTCTCCTGCCCTGTGGGGCACATCCTGTCACGGGGGGGGTGAAAGCTGCCCAGGACTGAGCGCTGATGCTCCTGCTCCTCCTGTCCCCTGCAGACGTGGTGACCCTGGATCCAAACACGGCTCATTCTGAACTTGTTCTGTCAGAGGATTTGAGAAGTGTGAAACGTGGACCCACGCGGCAGAACCTGCCTGACACCCCCGAGAGATTTAGTTCTAGGCCCTGTGTGCTGGGCCAGGAGAGGTTCCGGGAGGGGAGGCACTGCTGGGAGGTGGAGGTGAAGGGGGAGGTGGGAGGTGATGCATGGTGGGGTGTTGGAGTGGCCAAGGAGTCCGTGGAGAGGAAGGGGACAATGTTCCCGAGTCCTGCAGTAGGTGTCTGGGCGGTGTGGCACTTTTTTGGGAAGTTTGAGGCTCTCACCTCTTCTCGCACAGCCCTTTCCAAATCCCTGGTCCCCAGGAGGATCTGGGTCTGTCTGGACTGCACACGGGGGCTGGTGACTTTCCTCAACACCGACACCGGGGGCCAGATATTCAGTTTCCCACCAACCTCATTCCATGGGGAGACCCTGCGGCCCTGGTTTTGGGTGGGAACAGAGGAAACCCAGCTGTGCCTCAGGGGCAGCACCCCCGAGACATTCAGCCCCACTTCCATCCCCACCACTGGCTCCAGCAGACCCTGTCCTTTTCCAGAGACTCCCTGTGCTCCTCTCCTGGACCCTGCAGGAGATGTCCCTTCCTGCCCTGCCCCAGCCCAGGGAGCAAATGGGGAGTGAGGTGCAGGGGACAGGGGCTGCTGTGGGGTCCTTCATGGCTCTGGAAGGATCCAAGCAGGGAAGGGGTGTCATAATTTCAGCTTTGGTGGAGTTAATTTTCTTTCTAGTATCAGCTCCGTTTAGGATTTAGTGTGAGAATGACGTTGGTCACACATGAGTATATACGTGGCTGAGAAATGCAAACATCAGTCCAAGGGCTTTTCCGGCTTCCCCTCGCAGCCGAGAGGGAGCACGTCCAGGACAAGGAGGCCAAAGGGATATTCCACCCCACAGATGTCCTTCTCAGGATCAAAATGGAGGCTGCTGGGGGGCTGGGGCCCTCCATCGCTGGTGGGGATAGAATTGGCAACCAGTCCACAGGTCCTGAGGGCAACTGGTGTTGTATCACTTTATTTGGTATACTTATTTTTTTTTTACAATTAAAAATGTTATTTTCCTCTATCATTACTGTTATCTTAAACTGTTGCCTTTATTCCAACCCAGGAGGTGTTTTCCCCTCCTTTTCTCCCTCTCGTCTCCACCCTACTGGGGGGTGGTGGAGTAGTGAGGGAGCCACTGGCTGGGCTTAAAACATGCTGGGGGGCAGGGGACCTCTTGGACCCTCATGGACTCTCCTGGATCCTTTTGGATCCCCTTGGACCTCCTTGGATTCCCTTTGGAACCTCTTGGAAGCCCCATGGAACCCCTTGTAACCCCTTGTGTCCCCTTGGAACCTCTTGGATCCCCTTTGATGCTCTTCCATCCCCTTGGATCCCTTGGACTCCTTGAACCTCTTGCATCTCCTTGGATCCCCTTGAAACTCCTTGGAAGCCCTTGGCACCTCTTGGATCCCCTTGCATTCCAGTCAGAACCCCCTTCAATCTCCTCTGATCCCCTGGAACCTCTTGGATCCCCTCTGTACCACTAGGAAGCCAGCTTAGAATACCTTGAACCCCTTGTTACCCCTCGGATCCCCTTGAAACCCTTTTCAACCCCCAGGAACCCCTCTTGGACCCCCCGGAACCTCTTGCAACCCCTTGGAGCCCCTTGCATCCCCTGGGCTCTGCCTGACACTGTACTCACCGTGAGCATCCTCCTGTGTCGCATGACGCTTTTCTTAAGAAAACTGTTTTTTCTGCACCCAATTCCCTTCCCAGTTGGGCACTGGGTGAAGGCAGCTGTATTTTTTTTTTCTTATAAGGGGGATTTTTGGGTTCATGAGTGGAAGCATCTTTGTCCCAGAGCAGCTTTAGGTGCAGCAGAAGAGGAAACTTATGACCATGGAAGAAATTTTCCAGCCTGGGGCTATTTTAGATGGATTTATTACAGTGGTGATTCGCTGCTGCTGCTCCGGAGCTGGGAGTTGAACTGGGGCTGTGCACCACAGCGCGGGATCTGCTGGGAATGGGATGTTGGGGATACTTGGGGCTGAGAACAAGACCTCCCTGTTCACCTGACCTGGTCAGGGCTGTCTGGGTGCCCCCTGCTCTTCTTCAGTGTCCTCCTGCTCCTTCTGGACCCCCCTTGGTTGGATACGGGCTCCTGGACCCCTTTTGGGTTACAGACGGGCTCATCCCTTGTCCACATGCCCAGGTGTGGGTACAGTCCCCAGGAGCCCCAGACACGGGTATGCCCCCAAACTCAGAAACTCCATACCCACCCCTGCTATGGGTACAGCCCATTGCCTCCCCCACAGCCCTTCTTTTGTGTATGGATGTGGATGGGACGTTGGGGACAGCAGGGGACAGGTCCTTCCCATGCATGCGAGGACCCCAGGGTGACAGGGCAGAGGGACAGGGCACAGCTGGGGTGTCCCAACCCTCGAAGCCCAATCCCAGCCTCATCTTTTCCTCTCGTCCCCAACTCCCCACAAGCTCCTGGCTGTTGTGGGGCTGCAGGGACACTGCTGGGCTCCTCCCCCATGTCCAAAAAGCACAACCAAGCTCTAATCACAATGTCCTCACCCCCAAATGCAGGTCTTTTTCCTTCCTCAGTTCTATTTTTTCCTACCAGAAACCCAGAAGAAGGGATTTAGGGTACCTTTCAAGTTGAGGCCAAAATGGCCCATGATGGTGGCAGATGCTCTCCCCCCACCTCTCACTCCCAGGAGAGGAGGAGGAGAGAGAAATAGAGATTCACGAGTTGAGCAGGAACTAACCTACTTCAAGGAGATATTAATAATAAAATAAAAAGGAAAGCAATGAAATAGATACAATATCTACAAACCTGCATCAAGATCCCAGGATTGAGGCACGGCAACAAACTCTACAACTCCCGGAGAGTTATAAAGCAGGGATGTTTATTGCAGCGCCGGGTGCCAGGGGGATTGCTCCTCCCAACTTGCACACCGGGTCCTAAAACAAGCGTCCATTTATGGTAAGAAAGTATACATATTCATTAATAGGGGCTGGGTTATTATAATCAGTTCCAGGAATAGGCATAACTCTTGTAATTATTTCTGAGAACTCATTATCATTTCTCCTTTCTGTGTTTACAAGACAAGGCCCGTTCCTCACTCTGGAATGCTGGGCTCCCGGCTCTCTTATTTGTCAAGCTCCACTAAATCTACACTAACAACGTTTAACCATTCATTCTCCAAATCAGGATGAAGTCACCAGCAGGCACTGGGGAGCCCCAGACTGGACTCAGCCATGGGTGGGATCTGGATTCCAGCTCTGGGGTCAGGAAGGCACAGATTGGGATCGAAGGCAGACGACCAGTTAGGGTCCTCCTTGGGCGCTGGCCACTGGAGACAGAGCTGACTCTTTGATCCCTCAGCTTTTATAGTGTGCATGGGGCAGATGGGATGGAACACCCCCTTGGTCAGTTTGGGGTCCCCCCCTCCTGTCCCCTCCTCCCCTGCCGAGGCTGATCTGAGAAGTCGAATTACTAAATGGGAAGTTGTTTCAGTTTTACCTCAAACTGGGACAGAGACTCACCCTGGTTCCCCTCCCCACATCTGGGTATGACCCCAGGGACCCCCCTGGAGCTGGGTATCAGTACCCCCCCCCCAGTACCCACTCCTTGCTATGGGTGCAGCCCCCCAAACTGTCCTGCACTCCTTCTTTTGAGCATGGGCTCCCCATGCAGAAGATAAGACATTGGGGACAGCAAGGGACACATTGTCCGCAGGGATGTGGTGTTGCCAAGGTGACAGGGCACATCTGGTATGTCCCGATACTCAAAGCCCCCCCAAACCCTTCTTGTCCCCTCATCCCTGGCTCCCCACTAGCTCCCAGCTGCTGTGGGGCTGCAGGGACACTGCTGGGCTCCTCTGCTATGTCGAAAAATCACAACCAAGCTCGCAGCTCCACAAGATGCCTCCCAAAAAATCCCTATCATGCTTCATTTTCCATTCTTTTTCTCCTTTTTTTTGGTTTCTGGGGCTGATGGGCTGACGAGTTTTCTTCCCAAATAGATAAATGTCCTGAAACACCAAGAAAAAACCCCAAGAAATGGATTGAGCAGAACCAGCACAGGTGGACGATTTGTCATAATCTGGTTGGGGGTTTGCTCCTTCCTTTGCGACAACGGCCATACACAGGAAAATGAGCCCTTTCTGCGGGGGAAAAAATCCTGCTTATTTATGGGTGCAAAACCTCACCGATGTCTCTGCCCCAGCACAGGCTGCCGGGAGAGGTGCCGTCCTGGGAAAAGCCACATCCACCACCTTGAAACCAGGAACTGGGAGGGTGATGGGTGCCCTTTGGTGCTTTGCCCTTGGCAGTTTCTTTTATGACTCTGGACTTGCTGATGTGGATCATTTCTGGATGAAGAACATGATGTGGGAGGTGGAGCCTTAAACCGCACCCCAGAATTCCGGACCCTGAAACTGGGCAAAGGTTGGAGATGTTGGGTGCAGCTCCTACAGCTCGGTGAGTGAATTTCCTTTCTGCAAGGGAATTAGAATATTGAATTAATTTCAAGTCTTTGGAAGGGATTTTGAGTAAATCTTGGGGAGGGCAGTGGGGCAGAAGAGGGGCTGCACTGGGAGCTGTGCGTGGATCCCATCCTGCCCTCGACCAAGGGTTCCTTCCGACGTCAGGGTGCAGGTGGTTTGGTGGGATTTCTGGAGCCCCGTTGGGGGCAGGTGCAGCCCTTCTTCCCCATCCCCTCTGTGGTGGCTGTAACCCCCCCTTGCCCTCCCTCTGCCTCCCTTCCCACCCTCTTCTCCAGCTCCGGACGCAGATGGGGTTCCCCAGGAGCCCGTGGGGCCTCCTCAGTCCTTTCCTGACTCTCCACCTCTTCCAGCTGGGATCAGGTAGGGATCCTGCAGGGCTGGGGGGGCTGAGCGTGCTCTGGGTGGCAGATGTGGGGCCGGGGAGGTGCTGTGGGGCAGGAGGAGCTGAG